ATATCGAAATCTGATAAGATTCATAATATTATAAATAAAAGTATATCGAAATAATTATCTCCTAAACTAGTGAAACATATGTATGTCTTCCTAAATTTTAATAATATATTTTATTTTTTAAAAAAATATATATACAAGTCAAATTATATCATATAAATTGGAAGCGAGAAAGTACTTTTTTAACACCCACTTTCAACCATTGGGACCTACAATATGACACTTTTTTCTGAATCAATGATTGCTATATCATTTAATGATATTCTTTATAGCTTTTGGAGCATTATATAAAGCTGACAAACCATTACCACCCAAAGACTCAAAGAAGAACCATTTCTTTCTTCAATTCAACACATTGTCAATTTGCCGCATTTTAATTCATATAAGGTACTTCCCTCCGTACCCTATTTTTGTCATACCCATACAAAATCATATATAGTCGATCCCGATTTATTTGAGATTGAGAAAAAAGTTATTCCCAATATTTTATTTATTATGATTGGCATGATGAACTCTGCACAAATGTGCAAACAAGTAAGATGGCAAAATTTGCTACAATTGCAAAATTTTCTTCAAAAGGACAAGGTTGTGGTGGTCATGGGGGTCACCGGTGCCGGAAAATCAAAACTCTCTATCGACTTAGCCACTCAATTCGACGGAGAAATAATTAATTCAGATAAAATACAAGTGTACAAAGGTCTTGATATCGCGACTAACAAAATAACAGAAGAAGAACGTTGCGGTGTACCACATCATTGCCTAGGGGTAATTGATCCTTACAAAGAGTTCACCACTAAAAACTTTTGCAACATGGCTTCATTTACCGTTAACTCTATAACCAACCGCGGTAAACTTCCTATTATTGTTGGAGGGTCAAATTCATTCATCGAGGCATTTGTCCACAACAGTAACTCATATAATTTTAGTACAAGGTACGATTTTTGTTTCCTATGGGTCGATGCATCGATGAACGTGCTAAATTCGTTCTTATACGAACGAGTAGATAAAATGGTGGATCAAGGAATGGTGGATGAGGTAAGACAAATTTTCAATCCAAAAAATATGGATTACACCAAAGGTATTCGTAAAGCCATTGGTGTCCCGGAATTTGACAGTTACTTTCGTGCTGAATTGTCAAATTCCGTGGACAGGCAAACTCTTGAGAGGATGCTAGAGGAAGCGATTACTGAAATAAAGATCAATAATTGTATACTGGCAAGTAAACAATTAGAGAAAATTAAGCGATTAATTAGCGTTAAAGGATGGAAAATCCATCGATTAGATGCAAGTGAAGTATTCAAAAAACAGAGAATAGCAGAGGAAAAAGAGGCAGAGGAAATATGGAAGAATATGGTGATGGGACAGAGCAGAAAGATAGTGCATAAATTTTTATACGAAAATTATAGGAATTCAATGGTTTATAAAACTGATGGGACAGCCATTATGGCAGCAGCATCTCACTATTAAAAAGCAAAGTTGATCGTCAAAAACACATCTAATCACATTTTCACGAGTTTTATATTTTAACTATTCATTGTTCGATGTACCTACTTAAACTATCATTCATTTGTATTAAAACACACCTCGATGTTGAGTTGGCATACATGTGTCAGGTCAATATTGAGGTGTATTTTTAGTACAGTGATAGTAATAGTTTAGGTAGGTACATGAAACAATAAAGAAAGTTGAAGTACGAAACTCGCGAGGAAAAAATGATTTTGATATATTTTTGACGATTAACTCATTTAGAAAAAAAGAAGTTGTGTGGTTGCATTAATCTAAAGACTTTTTTTGTACAATAGTTGAGCATGATGACCAGTTTTGGGAGATAACATTTATATATGTCCACTACCAGCTAGCTATTTAGCAAATCATATAGTTTTATATTATTTTTCACTGATCACTATTGTAACTACATAAGACTGTAACCTTTTTGCTCTGATAATAATTGGCACAGATAATAAAATAAATATTTTATGAATGGTTGTGGAATGTTTGCAAGTAGTATTTCTTTTATGATTAAGAACTAATTAATTACTACTCCTATTTTAATTACTTGTCTTAGTTTAATTGCAATGTTTGGATGAGAGTTCAAAAGAATTTTTTGAATAGTATAAACTTAAAATGAAGGTGTTTATAATATATTAAAAGTATGATTTTAAATCTTGTAGTTATATTATTCTTATAAGTCAGTATCATATAGCTTTAACTTATTAGTAATAATTAATAAGAGAAGTCTTGAAAAACGCTTTTAAATTTAGTGCGAATTATTTTTAAATTATTATTAGTTTTTAAAAAATACTATTTTATTTGACCAGCTGAACTTAAACATATTTTTTATCTTGCAACATGAGTGATATACAATCCTAAATTTTCACCAAGTCTAGGAGTGTTTTCAACCAGCGCGGAGCTAGATTTTCAATAAGAAAATTTAAAATCTAAAAAAAATAGATACACGAAGTAGCCACATATACTATATATCTAAAAAGTTATTTTAACCATGTGTAAATAATATAATTTTTCATCGAAGGGGGTTCGCACGGACCCCCTAATTATAAGGTGGCTCCCCCACTGTTTTCAAACACTTATCTCATTTTTTTTACTAAGAGTTGTTTCATGCTCCTATAATAGTTTGACATTATTTGTTATGTCATGAGATAGATCAGAATTGTATGTAAGTTTAGTTAATCAAACAGAGGAATGTAGTTAAGGTTATTAATAGTTCGGAATCAAAAAAATACCAAATTTTAAAATATTTTAGATACTTTTCTCTAATAATAATAATAACATACATATCACAAAAAATGGAGGGGGTAATTGGTTACTCTTAATACAAAAAATTATAATCATACAAATATTAAAATCAACCTAAAATTAAAGTTTCATGTTTGATTTTTTATTAAACGTTATATTTAGCTAAATAATATGACATAAATTAAAACGAAAGAGTATTTTGTACACACTGCCCCCACATATGATATGAAGTAGCTTTCATTTACAATTTGTGTATATCAGAAGGATAAGATCCGTTGCATTTTTATTAGTTGGATGGGATTGCTAAAATCAAGAAATCACAAAAAAAAAATCAATTTTTGTTTTTATTTTTTGTGACTAGACATCATATATAACATAATAATAGTTGCAGATATTTTGCTACACAATGGAAGTGCAGGTTCCATTATCACTATGCAATAGTATTGGGAAAATGAACCCTATGGTTACTAATTGAACATTTTTTATAACTTAGTCTATTGACTATTTAAATTTTTACTGGTTTAGGCCGATGATTCATGAATTAAATTTTTTTAAAATGAACTTTATGATATATATGTAAATATAGAAGGAATATTTTGGTTTTGATAAGTTTTTGCTTCTGCCTTTTTTAAGAAATAGAAATTTTTAGTTTCTTTTCAACAGCAGAAAAATTATTCTTACGTCCATTTAAAAGCAATTTTATTGATTATTCAAACGTCTATTTCATACAAAAAAAAATCTCACAATAAATATGTAAATGTTTTCTTTTATATGGAGCATTTAGTTTTTAATTTAAATCAAGTAAAAAAGTATTATAGTATCTCTATTTTTGTATACAACACAAATTGTAAGGAAAGCATGAGGTTCTTCTTTTTGTTTTCTATTGTAGTTATACTTCCTTAAGAATAGTATAAGCAATTTTAGTAAGGTGGGAATAAACTTAGATAAATCAATCAAATCAGTCATAATCAGCATGTAATTTCATATTATTATTATTATTTTGGTATACTATGATACTTTGCTAGTCAAACACTACTTTATTCCACATGTATGCTATTTGTGGATAGTGAATTTAACAAGTTACACCCACCCCCATATAATTTGAGATTTTAACAATCATCTTCTTAATTTTTTAAACATTTCTTTATAAAGAGGAAAAGTCCCATCAAATTTAGTAGTGGCTATATATATTTATTTATTTATTTTGGTACTACTAGTAGTAGTGCTTATATGGACTATAGTATATATTGATTATTGGTATAAAGAATAGAGTATATTATTTGATTGACTTAGCACAAGCTATTTTTTTTAACATTAAGTATTTGCCCACCAGATGTAAGGCCAAAGATAGTGGTGTCTTTTCAAATTCTATTTATCGTGGATACGTTACAGGATAGATGAAAATAATGAATTCAAAATAAATATAATTTATGTATATATATTTCTTTTTGTTGTGTATGTATGTACGAACAAGACTTTTTTTATTTTTTCGTTTGTATTTATTTTTCAAGTTCTTATCTTAATGAAAGACACGTGTCTCAACTCAGAATTAAAGAGTTAGGTTTAATTAGCTAACCATGATTAGGAGTAGAACTATAATATTTTCATATATTTGCTCCCAAAAGATTTGGCAATCTCAAAATTCTAGCTGTACTAATTAAATAAAACTAATAAACAATAAAAGGAAAAAAGATTAATGTACTTGTCTCTCATTTTTTTTAATAATTATTTACCAACAGGAGAAAATCGAAAAAAAGATAAGTATATAAATCCTTTTTTATTATTCTAGATCTATCTTCTTGCAAAAAGAATTGGTAAAACTAGCAATAAAGGGAATTCTCAATTTGAGCTGAGTGTGTTACATTTGGTAAATTTTCCATTTTCAATATCATATCTAACAAGTTTAAAATTAAAATCGCATGATCTAAAGGACTATAAAAGTATATTTAAATTACAATTTGAAAATCTTCATTAATTTCTTAAACGTTGTATCTAGTAAACCTAAAACACTCAAGTTGAGACAGAGACAGAGGGAGTAGGAAGTTACAAAGATTACCACAAAATTCAATGTAGACGACCACATAAGTTTTATTTCTTTTACTTCAACTAACACATTACATAATTTTTTTTATCAAGCGTTAAATGAAAATACTAGGTTACTCTACTTTCTTATACTTTTTTTTTCATTTGAAGACGATGTAGTTAATAAACTTAAAACACCACAAGTCAAGGTATGTTGAGATGGTGCATCATGGGTGAGGGGGTAGCATATGACTATCCGCCCCCCTTGAACCGCACTCGAACGTAATATTGCAACCTGGATCAACCAAGATTGTGTACTGGTGGACAGGCCTAGACAGGAACAGAGGCAAACGAACCAGGAGATCACAGACACATTCGTTGTCGACTTGTTTCATCCACCTGCAGCAGTTCTCTTCTGCAGAACTTTCCTTGTACTCGTGGTGATGATCATGCCTGCGTCTGTGTCTTCTTTCTGAAGAGCCGGGAGGAGGTGGTGGGGAAACTAGCAGAAAAGGGGATGGTGGAGACACCGGATTAAATGGAAGCAACGAACATGCATGATTCACAAGTGCAAATTGAGAAGGACAGAGAGGACTAGGTTGGTTAGTCACCCATTGGCTTCTTGATCCACTTGGGTGCACCACTAGGAATAATGCCACAATCAATACTATCTTCAAAATGTTATGCATGTCCATCTCCGTGATTGACAGAACGTTCTTCTACTGACACAAGAAAAAAACAGCTTTCAAGGTCTTTGCTATGTTACTTACTAACAGTTAGAAAGTGAAGTACTTACTCCTGCCAACAATCTATCTTTCAGTTTCACTTATATAGACTAAACCAGCATTCACAAGTTTTTCATGTCATCAAGTTAGGTATTGATTTTCAGGTTTCATCAGCCAAAAGAAATTGAAAAACAGATAGGAGTGAATAGGTACGTACCTGCAGTAGAGCGTATTAGGTCAATGGTTGAGGAAGCCTCATTCTTTTTGTGTGAAGGATAATTTTTTCTCAGGTAATGTTTACTTGAGAAACACAAAAATTGATTCAACTGAAACCTTCCTAACTTAGTAAAAACATAAACAAATAAACAGAAATATCAAAAATCCATCCTTTTGTTGTATTTCCAGTACTCCTTATCTAGGACCTGTTGAGGAAGGGGAAGAATGAGTAATGTCATAAGAGAGATTTCACCATATCAGATGTTTCTGATCAGCTTATTATTCTAAACTATTTAAATGTATGCAATGTTAAAGCTAGATCATAGGATCAGATCTTGTTCCAAAATCAAAGATCTCTCCGAATAAGTAAAAGCATATAGTATACAGAATTATACAAAACTATTACCTGTTGATAAACATAAAGACAAAGCAAACTATAAGATATATCATTCACAATGAGAAGGGTCAGGGTTTTATTTCTAAGACTGCTCAAATACAATAAGAATTTCTATTACTATGGGAAATCAATGGAAGGGGAAGGAAGATAGCAAGAATCAAACTCACACTTATTGTGTGGAAGACTCCCACCAATATCACTAGTAGACTGTAAGACTTGGTGATAAGAAAGGGTTGAATAAACAAAAATGACTCTGTTTCCTGCACAGACACAAACTGTGACATGAGTACATAGGTCAGCATTATTGAGGTACAGATGTGAGACAACCTTAATACATAAGCTTGGCAACAGTTGTCGCAAAAAGATGATGTAGCGGGATAAAAGAGTTTGCTATAAACATAATACTTCCAATGCCAACAGATAAATGCAGGTCCACTGCAGGTCCACTAAGTACAGCCCTCAACGATATATTTATGAAATCAAATTACAAATTGGAACTCTTCAGGAAACCTCGAGATCGTAAAATATTGGACTTTCAAGAAACTAGAAGCAAATACATGTGATAGCTTCTGGCAGCTATGACGATCCCAGGAGATCCAAATAGTGCATATTGTCAAAATTGTGCTAATTTGGTATATGATCAATGATTTCATTGCCTCATATGATATCTCTAGTCCCACGATCCTGGCATCACCATCTCTCATTATGCACTGAGTCTATACGAGGGTTGCCTCGTCCACAAAACCATGCTATATTGGTAAATTCGCAACAGCACACCATACTCCATTTGGCACCACTCTAATTTACTGTGAATTCTTCATCATCAATGCTCACTTCTCCCTTCCAATGGAACCATCCACATTGAATTGAAGATGCCTGCAAGAGGAAAATGCATTCAATATGTTTTTTTTCTGAATAATATTGAAACTTCCAACTTGTTGCATTAAGAGCAAATCAAATCTCTGGCTACACACTGGATGGAATTTGTCCTGTGGGTGACCCCGATTGGCATTGAAGCATTCTGTTTTGATGTGGAGACATAGAATCTCAGTTCAGAAGCTATGTTAGGTTTCATAGGTGCTCTCAACAGTTTGCAAGTTGCAACTATTCACTGAACCATGCACGATGAACCACATGAAAGTAACAATTGCTAAAAGGCTTTTAGGACAAATATCCAGCTCCGTCTGCTATATTTTGGTTGGATAGATTTTTCATTTTTTGAATATGGGCAGACCAGGAGGCAGGAGCGGAACTTGATAAAATCAGAAAGTCCAAAAATGATTATTGGCTTAGTAGTAAATGGAAGATAACTGATCAACAAGAAAAAGGAAAAAGAGAGTAAGTTGAAGATATGTCAGTATTATCCTCCGTCATGGGGCAAAGGAGAGAGATGGTAAAGTTCTCATCATTTCATCCCATACATAATATCCATAGCAACTCGGCAGCTCTAAAGATAATGGATGGGAAACAAACGAGCTTAAAAATGAGAGATGTGAGGGTATGGGAGTGGAGAGAAAGAAAGAGATGCATGCCAAAGAAGGTTATAAAAATGTAAAGACTCCAGTAACAGTTGGTCTCAAACCATGTGAATAGTTGTCAGCTTGAAGAAAAAGAGGAGATTGTCAGGTCGAACATAGATTCCCGTAAAAAGCGATAAATTTTCAAACTGAGATTGTTGATACAAATTTGTGATGCTGTGCTTCTCGACAAATTGTCCCGAAAATCTGAAAAGATGCAGTTGCTTAGCAACACAGTATCTAGTAGATCATATTCATTCTGATAATATAACTGAAAATGAGCAGTGGCACATTTCCCAGAACTCTCTGATTTGTGAGTCGGCAGTCACCATTATAACAAGAGTTTGCACAAGAGTGTGGTAAAACCCAGATCCTGAGGCAAGTATAATTTTGCGGAGAAAAGAATGACTTGATATAAACAACTGAATCATATGCAAGGCATCTTTTGGCTTCTTTTATAAAAAAGAGTCTTCTTTGAGTTGTAGCATCTTCAAAATCAAAATCCCCTCACAGAAACCCAGGAAATTATATTGGGCTTTGGCTTGCGAAACTACATACTAGGCCTCCTTTTCTGACATCACTAGCAATTATACATACACCCAGCCTGCCTTTCAAGATGACGTTAGCAATCAAAGCACAGCATCTTCCTCTTCACATTTGTGGTAGTCTAGATCATTATTGCTGACTGCCATCATTTCCATGTCCTTCTGAACCATCTCTCCCTGCAATCTCAAGAGCTCATCTTTCTGTTTGTGGCCCTCAGCAAGTAACTCAAGAAATTTGTCTTTAATCTCAAGAAGTGGGTCTCGATCTATCAGCTCACCATCCTTGTATGCTTCCCTAAGCATTGCAGTTTTAATCCCACACTTCAACGAAGTATAGAATATCCCCGAATGCCGAGTAAATACATTTGAGAATGCGTTTGAGAACCTATACTCATCACTAAACTTGCCTAAAATGGGAATGGGAACCCTCTTATAAAGAGAAAGTGATAGCAACTCGTGGAAAACCCCCACATTCCTCTTCTCCATCTCTCGTGAAGACTGTTCCAAATGCGATACATCATCATATGGTGATACATAAGGTAGCTCCATCCAATCTCGAATCCACTCTCTCACTTCCTTCCTAATGAAAAAACCTGGAGGAAGCTTCCAGTTAAATGCTGGCCTAGTTCTGATTCCTGTTAACCTCGATTCCTCCTCAGCTCTTAGCTCAATCACCGACTTCGCAAATTCTGGGTTCCATTTAACCAACTGCAAGAATGATTTGCCCTCACCAGGTTCACCAATTAAGTTAAAATATTCCGGATATTTTGGCACTAAATTTACTAAAAGATCATTCGGGAACCCGAATTCCCTCTTCACCTGTACTAATTTATCAGCACTTACAACCTTATCCTTAGACATCATCAAAAGTTTACATAATTTAGAAACCAATAAAGATTCATTTTTAACAAAAATCCTACTCTCCTCTTCCAAGAATAGTCTTAGTCTTTCACTGGGTCGAACAAATGAGACCGGTTCTGATTTGGGTCTGACCCGATCCAGATATAAATCAAACAAACCGGGGTTCCAATCAAGAAAAGTTTTGATTTTTACTTGCAACCCCAATCTTTCACGTCGTTTCTCTAAATAGTGAAGAGGGATTACCTGACCCGGCTCGTTTAGCACTTCTTTGACAACTCTTGCACACTGCTTCCACTTCTTGTCGTTTTCAATGGCTTGGTCTAGCTTTGGGTCCTTCCGCCATGCCACTTTCAGGCTTGAAATTGATGCTTTGAATTGCATGAAAAACCCATACTCATGATGTTTCCGGTTAGTGCTTCTGAGTGAATGTACAAGCCGATTACTGAATTGCATTTCTGGTTTTACGGTATTTTGGTACAATCGAAGAACAGAAATGCGAAGGATTATGGATACTAGGGTTTTAGGGTTTTTGACGTGATTTCGGGGCGACCCGGAAAGTTCCTACTTGAACGGGTTTGGTTTGGGCTTGGGAGTCATACAAATACAATGTGTTTTCTTTTAGGGAAAATTATGCGCATAGTTCATTAGCTAACTTAGATATACTTTGAATTAGTTATGGATCGCAACTTAATTATAGCTATATTTTTTTGCCTCTCTTCTCTTTTGTTTACAAATGCAAATTATACGTGTATATATAAATACAATTAGCCTCTTTCCATTCTCTTCCCTCTCTCGCTCATCTCTCTCTTCTCTCTTCCAATCTTGCTTGCCTCTCTTTTCTTTCTATTTCTCAATCTAGCTCACCAGATATACAAATATATATGTATACCAGTTACATATATGCAGTATGTAGTTAATCTGACATATATATATATATATATAGTTCACCTATCTCCCTTCTCTGCACTGTCTCACTTGCTCCTATCCTCCCTCTCCCTAGATCACTCGCCTCTCTCCTCCCTCTTCAATCTCCCTCATCAGATATACAAACACATATGTATATCAATTACATATATACAATTATTTTGATAGATATACATATACAATTGGATAAATATACATATACAATTCGTCTCTCTCTGTTGTTTGCCCTTTCTCGCTAGCCTCTCCACTCTGTCTCCTGATCTCGCTCACCTCTCTCCTCCCTCTAACATGTAACTATGTATAGTAATTAGCAAATTATAGCTATCAAACATTATTAAGCTATTTTTGAGTGACTATATACAAAATTTCCCCTTTTCTAATGTTGATGTGTGGTTGCAAGGGGTGTCAATGATGATTTCGGAAGATTATTTTATAAATTTTATATTATATTTATTTTTTAATTATTGAATTTTTCAAAAATTAGTTCTTTAAAAAATATTTTATTATTTTGGTTTTTTCTTTTGTATATGTTGATTCCATTGATTTTGATAAGAAAAAAATTAAAAATCTTATACAAGATTTATAAGTTCAAGTTAGAAAATGATATAATACTTACTTTTGTATATTGTTTTACAATGATAATAAATTGAGCATGAAAGACGACCAAAAATAGAGTTGTATTTTATTATATTTTACAATAGTGTAAAATAAAGTCAAGCAAAATCAGAATCTTTAGATAATATAAGGAAAAAAAATTAATCAAGATGAGATTCAAGAATTAAGTCTATTGAGATACCTACTCGTCCATAAAAAGTAGAAGTAACTTTAGGGGGAAATTTAGAAAGTATTTAGCCTTACAATTTGTCATTTTTTGACAAATACTTTTAAGGGAAAAAAAATCTAAATTTCTGAAATTAAAAGAAATCTGCTTATTTAACCAAATTCTATTTTTTGAAATATTTAAAAGATTATTTATTTATCTAAATATTTTATAGAATGGAAAATTGCCAAAAATATCCTTTAATTATGCAAATTTGGCACAAAAAACACCATTTTCTACCTTTTGGGTCTTAAATTCCCTTGACATCAACATTTGGACATTTTTGCCCTATCTTTAACAACCTAAATACGTTAACGACGTGTCATTATCCTAAAAATTAATTTGTGGGTGGGGCTATTGGGTGAGTATATGATTTTTCTAGAATAAGTTTAATTAGTTTTAGAATAGCCAATAGGACAATGACACATCATTAATGTATTTATTGTTAAAGACGAAGGCAAAATAGAGGCCAAAAGTTAATGTCAAAGGTATTTTAGGCTTGAAAAGTAAAAGAAGAGAATTTTTGTACCAAATCACATAATTTAAAGAATTTTAAGTCCTTTCCGTGTATAAAAACACCCTATCATTTATTAATTTCAACTTGACGAACTTGACGATCTTAGCGTGAAGATACACCTTAAGCTTATATATAGTGTTTCAGTTTATGATATGTTTCTTATCTTGACTCTCGAGTATCCAAATTAAAGTTATTGTTCAGTAGAACTTGTTAAAGGTAATATAATGATTGGATGCTCCTTTGTAAGCAGGTTGGAGCTTATAATTTGAGTTTGATTTCATCAAGAAACATGTTTATTTTATACAAATTTATATATATTTTTAATAATTTTTAAAAATATGAGTATAGATCATATTTTTAAAAAAATTTAAATATTTTTCTAAAAAATTACGATAATACATGATATAATTTTCTCCAGAACTTCAACAAAAAATAACTAGTCAAAGAAAATATATCAAAAGCAAAAGCAGACTAAATATTCAATATTCAAAAGAAAAATTCAAATCATACTAGATTAAACATATCTAATATCTTCCAGTTTGCACTTAAGATTATAACAATATTTAAGATGTTAAAACTAAGTTAGATTCACTAGAAATAGAATAATATATTTTAGAGTTGGGACTTTGAATGTCAAGTACAAGTTGACTTGTAGTCTTTTTTACTACTCTAGATCAAAGATGATTCAATTCTTTTTTATTTATCTTTTATAAAATTAGAAACCTACCTAATTATTTGGTATGCAACTGTCTTTTTTAATTTACTTTTTATAGAATTAAAATTCTACTTAATTATTTGATACAATTAAAAACTTTATATAAACACTTGTGGTTTTATTAAAATTAACTTAGATATCAGTTTGGTTTTGTGAATAAATCAATTTTTAAAACAAAAACATTAATACCCATATGTTACAAAAGAACTTACTAAAATTAATATACCAAAAGAAGGAAAATTTAGGAAGTAATATTCTTTCAAGGCTTAAGTCATCGATAGATCCTGAAAGTTGTCCGCATAATTCACTTAAACACCTCAACTGAGGTTTGTACCTATTGAATACTTTGACTCTTCTAAATTTGAACCATTTAAACACTTTGTGCATACGTGGCACAAAAAGTGTATTCTACACGTTTTTAGGCGCGTGAATCATTTAATCAGTGCCTTTTTAAAAAAAAATTCTCTTGGTA